TCCCAAACTTCACAGGCATATTCCAACACAGGCAACACAAATACTTTATATATTCTTAACAAAGTTTTCCTACTCAACAGTAATTTAAACTTTCGTAGTACTGATACCTTTTTCATGCATGTTTTTTGAATTTCGGAAATATGTAAAGACCATTTTGCATCTGCACTAAATATTACGCCTAAATGTTTATGACTTTCAACACAATTCAGAGTCTCAGTACCAAAACAAATCTGTAAAGGAAGTATATTTCGCGAATTAGATATAAATAACACATCAGTTTTCTGTTGATTAAATTTAGTAAGCCAGTCCCGTGACCATTTGTCAAGTTTTTCCAAATCTCTGTTTACACACATTTCAATATCAGCATGAGAAGACGAAGAATACATCAAAGAGGTATCATCAGCAAATAAGCGTGAAATACAATTTAAATTATCAACAATATCATTAATATAAACCAAAAATAACAGAGGACCTATCACACTTCCTTGTGGTACACCAGCATTTGTGTAACCTATATTAGAATACACACCTTTAACAAGAACCTGTCGTTGTCTGTTTGAAATGTAATTTTTAAACCAATGTAGTAAACCATCTCTAATACCATAAGCATGTAATTTATGTAAAAGACCCCTATGCCAAACTCGGTCAAAAGCCTTCGATATATCCCAAAAAATTAGACAAGTATGTTTTTTTTCTTCTAATGAACAACATATATTATGGTGAATTTCTATTAGCTGATGGACAGTGGAATGATGAATCATAAAACCAGATTGTTTTTCGTAAAATACCTTTAGTACTTCAGGAATGACCGTTTTTTGCGGTGCAAAATTTTCCACTACTTCCGCGTTTACTAAATCAGGGAGAAAATTGACACGTGGATATTTAATTTAAATAACAATAAAAAACATTATGACGAGAAGCATCTACTTATTAATCTGATCCTTTGAACCGCAGTAGCTGGTGGCGCCATGATCGGTAGGCTGTGGCTGCAATTACGTTGAAGTAATGGCAGTCCTAGAAGTTTGGCAGTTTTTAATAACCAGAACAAATTCTAGCTAGTTGCATGAGGTGGTTGTATATAAAACCGACAAAAAGGGCAAGCACGACATTTACCCGAGCCCAACACCAATCAACACCACACCAACATGCACAAGCGTGCCAAAGGATTGATCGTTTCACTCTTAAACAAAATAAATTCATTAAATTTCTGTCAGTTGGTGAGTCATGTGAAGGAATCTCCTTGTTTTCTAGGAATCTTTACATGCGATCGTTCTCCTAAATTTGAAATAAATATAAATTTAGGAAGACATTAGTTGCAGATGGCGCTAACATTAGAGAGACAGTATCATGTAACCAGTACCATTATCACGCGCATGTACGTGATGTTGTAACATAACTTGTAAAACGGAAGACTTCTTTATTATTTGTGCTTAACGATAGCACTCGGATAACTTATAGTGTACTTTCTGTACGGTCAAGACAGATGGTTGTCGCCTTTTTATCGGTAAAATAAAGTCTGTAAGGGCTTGGACAGTCTTCACACTTATCTCGAGATTAAAGAATCACGTGACAAATGACATGGCGAGTTGCACATGATGCTGGGAAGTCTCTTATTGCCGAGTTTGCCCTATCAGTGATAGATGTTATGCCGGACCAGTAGATAATTTCAGCGTCATACAGCTTTCCGATGGAACGGAACGTAATACAAGATATCCAAACTTCCAGTATAGCCAAACGTAATACAAGACATCCAAACTTCCGGTACGGCCAAACGTAATACAAAACATCCAAGCTTCCGTTACAGCAAAACGTAATACAAGACATCCAAACTACCGTTGCAGTCAAATGCTATACAAGACATCCAGCTTCCGTTACAGCCAAACGTAATACAAGATATCCAAACTTCCGTTACAGCCAAACGTAATACAAGACATCCAAACTTCCGTTACAGCCAAACGTTATACAAGACATCCAAACTTCCGTTACAGCCAAACGTAATACAAGATATCCAAACTTCCGTTACAGCCAAACGCCATACAAGACATCCAAACTTCCGGAACGGCCAAACGTAATACAAGACATCCAAACTTCCGTTACAGCCAAACGTTATTCAAGACATCCAAACTTCCGTTCAATCAAACTCGATTCAAGATATGCAGACGTCCGGTACAATCGAGCTTAATTAATACCAGATATACAGATTTTCCGATTAAACGTTAACAAGATATACAAAGTTCTGGTTCGACCGAACTTAATCAAAGTTAAACAGACTCATACCGACCTCCACCCATCGTATTATCTCATACCCACCTCCACCCATCGTATTGTCTCATACCAACCTATCGACCATAATGAAGTCTCCAGTAGCACGTTGGTGTAACCTATGCCCCCACTGTGGTGTAACCTATGCCCCCACTGTGGTGTAACCTATGCCCCCACTGTGGTGTAACCTATGCCCCCACTGTGGTGTAACCTATGCCCCCACTGTGGTGTAACCTATGCCCCCACTGTGGTGTAACCTATGCCCCCACTGTGGTGTAACCTATGCCCCCACTGTGGTGTAACCTATGCCCCCACTGTGGTGTAACCTATGCCCCCACTGTGGTGTAACCTATGCCCCCACGTTGGTGTAACCTATGCCCCCACGAGAACATACATTATACACAGAGGTCGGTTCGTTAACAGACACATTTAGTGAGAGACAGATGATATATGTAACAACCCTTCTCGTACATGACGAGGAGTTCGTGAAGATGTCAAGTCTATAGTATTGCTGCACGTGTGGGTTTTCGCCATAACGGTGATATCTGACAGACTGCGCGTGAAAAACACGAGATCTCGGTTATGACCCGGTAGAGATGTTTTAGCTACAGGTGAAGCGAGACTTCTCTGTGTTTTGGTAGCATTTATTATACATAACAGGTTCGATAATAACTCGCACAAACTTGCTGATACGAAACTACGGACCAATCAACAATCTCCTCGTTGTGGTAACAATCATAAAAAAAAGACACAAACAACATCAACATCAACAACAACAACAAAAACAACAACAACAAGACACAGAAGCTGTTGCCAATCCCGAGCTTTATGTACGGCATTTCACGAACAATGAAAACAATCTTTAGTCTTTCTGAGACTTGTTCTCCCAGATAACCAGAAGGGCCTGCTAAGTGTTATCTCGCTGAAACACGACAACCTCGTTATGGTATCATGACACCCCTCTACTTTATTCTGATTCCACTGACCAGGTCTACAGACTTTGCTTACTTTGACTGATCCAAATGCCATTTGAGTTCATTTTGGGGATAAAGACTCGATCATTTAAATCCTATATTCCAAAACATATCCGGGATGACCAACCCTAGTCCTTTTCAATAAAATCCTATATTACCCCAGAAATCTGAAATATGTATACATTGAGTACACAGCTACCCGTCTCACGTGTTACATCAGTTATTAATGCATTTCAAGCCTCGTTTTGTGCGTAAAAAATAATAATGATTTGTAATAATTGATTTTATCACTGAGCATTTTGAGAGAGAATCATACGCGTCGGTCGGTCGATCTAAGTCTAAGTGGGTCGATCTAAATCTAAGTGGGTCGATCTAAATCTAAGTCGGTCGATCTAAAGCTAAGTCGGTCGATCTAAATCTAAGTCGGTCGATCTAAATCTAAGTCGGTCGATCTAAAGCTAAGTCGATCGATCGAAATCTAAGTGGCAGAGTATCAATGATTACTGCCACGTGCGACCGAGCTTTTATCTCATTGTAAAATGTTATTACGGTTTCTTATCGAGTCAGTGTTCGAGAGATGTATCAGGGACTAATGTCAGTATAACTGATAACACATGATAGTCTAGTATCCCGTCAGCAGTTTTACATAAACGCTGCTCCACTGTGATCCATTTCCTATTTAACATTACGACCAAACATGAGACAGAACGGAATGTTTACGAGACCACTTCCTCGTTATTTTCTGTAGTTACGTACCTAGCATTTTATATGAATTTCACGTCTTTCTGAAAACATTATAATAGTATTGCGTTTTCCGGAATAAATTGTATCAAGTCTGGAGTAATGTATTTCTTAGCAATTGCTGCATGATAGGTTTCTTTTGTCACGTGATAGGGATTCTTTTTTCACGTGATATGGATTCTTTTGTCACGTGATGGGGATTCTATAGGGATTCTTTTGTCACGTGATAGGGCTTCTTTTGTCACGTGATAGTCATTCTTTTGTCACGTGGTAGTCATTTATTTGTTACTTGACTCATTTGTCACGTGATAGTTATTATTTTGTAACTATGTAACATCGTTTTCATTTGTCACATAATAGTGATTCCATTCCTGAACAAATCTTTCTTCCAAAACTATATAAAGTCAGTCAAGACACTGATTTTCTATTCAGAGACCATGACACTCTGGAATGAAGATCAAATAGAATGTTAATACTCGAATTATCGGAGATCAATTTAACGAGAATCGCGTCACTTGTCAACTACACAGTAAAACGTCATCAATGATAGCGGGGTTCCAACCTGGAACATCATCGGTCTTAGCAGGCTATTTAGTAAGTTCTGTGTAAACCTATATGTTACATGTTGAAAAATATAGCTTTATAATACAAAGTTTTTTGTCTGGTTGACAGGTGTAGCAGAGGAAAAGAAGGCGGAGGCGATCACGTTTCTCGGGGACGAATCCAAGATGTCGTATGAAATCATAAACAGTGGTAATGATTGGGAGTTCCGAGTGGGCACAAAGGCGGGAGAAAAAACCATCAAGTTTACCCTCGGGCAGGAGTTCGATACCTTCACATTGGACGATCGACCAATCAAGGTAAGCTTTATTCACACCTCAAGTTTATACCGAACCGAAAACGCTTACACCTCCGGAATACCTTTATATACTACACCGAAAACGCTCACACCTCCGGAATACGCTAATATACCGTACAGGAAACGCTCACACGTCCAGAACACCTTTATATTCCGTACCGGAAACGCCTACACCTCCGGAATACCTCTATATACTACACCGAAAACGTTCACACCTCCGGAATACGTTAATATACCGTACCAGAAACGTTTACACCTCGGAAACACCTTTATATGCCGTACAGGAAACGCTTTCACCTCCGGAACACCTTTATATTCCGTACCGGAAACGTTTACACCTCGGAGACACCTTTATATGCCGTACAGGAAACGCTTTTACCTCCAGAACACCTTTATATGCCGTAAAGGAAACGCTTACACCTCCGGAACACCTTTATATACCGTACCGGAAACGCTTACACCTCCGGAACACCTTTATATGCCGTACAGGAAACTCTTACACCTCCGAAACACCTTTATATGCCGTACAGGAAACTCTTACACCTCCGGAACACCTTTATATTCCGTACCTGAAACGCTTACACCTACGGAACACCTTGTTCTCTTAGAGTCAGGGTTGATATTGTCTTTGCTTCTTTAGTCCCCCATCAGTTCCTTTTCGTCCCGACTTTGTTCTTGTTTTGTTCAGTAGGTAATTTCTTTTGATATTCATATTTAACCTCCGTAGTTCGCCGCTCACCTCCTTTTACACACAGATAAGGGAGAAAAGTGTGGTAGTTGTAATTAACTCATTAACAATTACCCTTTCCAAAACTGTCTCCGACTCATCTAAAAACAACAGTTTGGCCTCAACAAACTACATCCCCTCTCAAGTCTCCTTTACTACCGGCGTCCTCCACAGGAAAGGTTTTACATAGAGTTCGAGTCCTGATTCGATCTTACAGTGATATCTCTATAAGAGGCGCCTTATGTGTAATGTACAACATCCATGAATAAATACTCAAGTAAAGAATTTTTGGAGAAAACATTTTTTCTTTTCATTAGAAAAATAACTTTTTGGTACTTTCAAACTTCCATATCTCTCTGTCACAAATTACGGAACCAATGACTTCTTATTGTCATGATCGGCAATAAATACTTCCTTGTGGCCCTGCTTATTGTGTTGATGGGCCGGTCAGGTTGCCGTGTGGCCCGATATGACCTTATTGTGTTGTCGGATCATCAACACTACAGTGTGGCCCTGTATGACCTTATTGTGTTGATGAACCATTACGACTACCATGTGGCCATGTCTGACCTTATTGTGTTGATGAACCATTACGACTACTGTGTTGCCCTGTGTGACTTTATTGTGTTGATGGACCATTACGACTACTGTGTGATCCTGTATGACCTTATTGTGTTGATGAACCATTACGACTACCATGTGGCCCTGCATGACCTTATTGGGTTGATGGACCATTAAGACTACCATGTGGCCCTGTATCACCTTATTGTGTTGATGAACCATTACGACTCCCTTGTGGCCCTGAATGACCTTATTGTGTTGATGAACCATTACGACTACCATGTGGCCCTGTATGACCTTATTGTGTTGATGAACCATTCCAACTACCATGTGGCCCTGTATCACCTAATTGTGTTGATGAACCATTATGACTACCATGTGGCCCTGTATGACCTTATTGTGTAGATGGACCATTAAGACTACCATGTGGGCGTGTATGACCTTATTGTGTTGATGAACCTTTACGACTACCAAGTGGCCCTGTATGACCTTATTGTGTTGATGAACCATTCCAACTACCATGTGTCCCTATATCACCTAATTGTGTTGATGAACCATTATGACTACCATGTGGCCCTGTATGACCTTATTTTGTTGATGGACCATTAAGACTACCGTGTGGCCATGTATTCCTTATTGTGTTGATGGACCATTAAGACTACCGTGTGGCCTTGTATGCCTTATTGTGTTGATGGACCATTAAGTCTACCATGTGGCCCTGTATGACCTTATTGTGGTGATGGACCATTAAGACTACCATGTGGCCGTGTATTACCTTATTGTGTTGATGAACCATTAAGACTACCATGTGGCCGTGTATTACCTTATTGTGTTGATGAACCATTACGACTACCATGTGGCCCTGTATGACCTTATTGTGTTGATGGACCATTACGACTACCGTGTGGCCCTGTCTGACCTTATTTTGTTGATGGACCATTAAGACTACCGTGTGGCCATGTATGCCTTATTGTGTTGATGGACCATTAAGACTACCATGTGGCCCTGTATGACCTTATTGTGTTGATGGGCCGTTCAGACTGCTGTGTCGTCCTGTATGACCTTATTGTGTTGATGGACCATTTTGCTACTGCGTGGCCCTGTATGACCTTATTGTGTTGATGAACCATTACGACTACCGTGTGGCCCTGTCTGACCTTAATGTGTTGATGGACCATTAAGACTACCATGTGGCCCTGTGTGACCTTATTGTGATGATGGACGATTAAGACTACCATGTGGCCCTGTCTGACCTTATTTTGTTGATGGACCATTACGACTACCATGTGGCCCTGTATGACCTTATTGTGTTGATGAACCTTTACGACTACCATGTGGCCCTGTATGCCTTATTGTGTTGATGGACCATTAAAACTACCATGTGGCCCTGTATGACCTTATTGTGCTGATGGGCCGTTCAGACTACTGTGTCGTCCTGTATGACCTTATTGTGTTGATGGACCATTAAGACTACTGCGTGGCCATGTATGACCTTATTGTGTTGATGAACCATTACGACTACTATGTGGCCCTGTATGACCTTATTGTTTTGATGAACCATTAAGACTATTGCGTGGCCCTGTGTGACCTTATTGTGTTGATGAACCATTACGACTACTGTGTGGCCCTGTATGACCTTATTGTGTTGATGGACCATTAAGACTACTGCGTGGCCCTGTGTGACCTTATTGTGTTGATGAACCATTACAACTACTGTGTGGCCCTGTGTGACCTTACTGTGTTGATGGACCATTAAGACTACCATATGGCCCTGTATCACCTTATTGTGTTGATGGACCATTAAGACTACTATGTTGCCCTGTATGACCGTATTGTGTTGATGAACCATTAAGACTACTGCGTGGCCCTGTATGACCTTATTGTGTTGATGAACCATTAAGACTATTGTGTGGCCCTGTATGACATTATTGTGTTGATGAACCATTACGACTACCATGTGGCCCTGTATGTTGTGTTGATGAACCATTACGACTACCATGTGGCCCTGTCTGACCTTATTGTGTTGATGAACCATTACGTGTGTTGGTGGGCCGTTCAGACTGCTGTGTCGTCCTGTATGACCTTATTGTGTTGATTGACGATTTTGCTACTGCGTGGCCCTGTATGACCTTATTGTGTTGATGAACCATACTGCGTGGCCCTGTATGACCTTATTGTGTTGATGTTCCATTAAGACTATTGTGTGGCCCTGTATGACATTATTGTGTTGATGAACCATTACGACTACACCATTAAGACTACCATGTGGCCCTGTATCACCTTATTGTGTTGATGGACCATTAAGACTACCAAGTGGCCCTGTATGACCCTATTGTGTTGATGGACCATTAAGACTACCATGCGGCCCTGTATCACCTTATTGTGTTGATGAACCACTACGACTCCCTTGTGGACCTGTATCACCTTATTGTGTTGAAGAACCATTACGACTACCATGTGGCCGTGTATGACCTTATTGTGTTGCTGAACCATTACGTGTGTTGCTGGGCCGTTCAGACTGCTGTGTCGTCCTGTATGACCTTATTGTGTTGATGGACCATTTTGCTACTGCGTGGCCCTGTATGACCTTATTGTGTTGATGATCCATTACGACTATTGTGTGGCCCTGTATGACCTTATTGGGTTGATGAACCATTACGACTACCATGTGGCCCTGTATGACCTTATCGTGTTGATGAACCTTTACGACTACCAAGTGGCCCTGTATGACCTTATAGTGTTGATAAACCATTACGGTTACTGTGTGACCCTGTACGGCCTTATTGTGTTCATGAGCCATTATAAATAACATCTGGCCCTGTATCACCTTATTGTGTTGATGAACCACTACGTGACCTTATTGTGTTGATGGACCATTAAGACGTATGACCTTATTGTGTTGATGGACCATTTTGCTACTGCGTGGCCCTGTATGACCTTATTGTGTTGATGATCCATTACGACTATTGTGTGGCCCTGTATGACCTTATTGGGTTGATGAACCATTACGACTACCATGTGGCCGTGTATGACCTTATCGTGTTGATGAACCATTACGACTACCATGTGGCCCTGTATGTTGTGTTGATGAACCATTACGACTACCATGACCTTATTGTGTTGATGAACCATTCCGACTACCATGTGGCCCTGTATGACCTTATCGTGTTGATGAACCTTTACGACTACCAAGTGGCCCTGTATGACCTTATAGTGTTGATAAACCATTACGGTTACTGTGTGACCCTGTACGGCCTTATTGTGTTCATGAGCCATTATAAATAACATCTGGCCCTGTATCACCTTATTGTGTTGATGAACCATTCCGACTACCATGTGGCCCTGTATGACCTTATTTTGTTGATGGACCATTAAGACTACCATGTGGCCCTGGCTGACCTTATTGTGTTGATGAACCATTACGCCTACCATGTGGCCCTGTATGACCTTATTGTGTTGATGGACCATTAAAACTACCATGTGGCCGTGTATGACCTTATTGTGTTGATGAACCATGACGACTACCATGTGGCCCTGTCTGACCCTATTGTGTTGATGAACCAATACGACTACTGTGTGGCCCTGTATGACCTTATTGTGTTGATGAACCATTATGACTACCATGTTACCCTGTATGACCTTATTGTGTTGATGAACCATTACAACTACTGCTTGGCCCTGTATGACCTTATTGTGTTGATGAACCATTACGACTACCATGTGGCCTTGTATGACCTTATTGTGTTGATGAACCTTTACGACTACTGTGTGGCCCTGTATGACCTTATTGTGTTCAAGAACCATTACGACTACCATGTGGCCCTGTATGACCTTATTGTGTTCAGGAACCATTACGATTACTGTGTTGCCCTGTACGGCCTTATTGTGTTCAGGAACCATTATAACTACCATGTGGCCCTGTATCACCTTATTGCGTTGATGAATCATTACGACTCCCTTGTGGACCTGTATCTGTGTTGATGAACCATTACAACTACTGCTTGGCCCTGTATGACCTTATTGTGTTGATGAACTATTAAGACTACCATGTGGCCCTGTATGACGTTATGCGTAGCCCTGTATGACCTTATTGTGTTGATGAACTATTACGACTACCATGTGGCCCTGTATGACCTTAGTGTGTTGATGAACCATTATGACTACCATGGGGCCCTGTATGACCTTATTGTGTTGATGGACTATTAAGACTACCTGTGTTGATGAACCATTACGACTACTGTGTGGCCCTGTATGACCTTATTTTGTTGATGAACTATTACGACTACCATGTGGCCCTGTATGACCTTATTGTGTTGATGAACCATTACGACTACCATGGGGCCCTGTATGACCTTATTATGTTGATGAACCATTAAGACTACTGTGTGGCCCTGTATGACCTTATTGTGTTGATGAACCATTACGACTACCATGTGGCCCTGTATGACCTTATTATGTTGATGAACCATTAAGACTACTGTGTGGCCCTGTATGACCTTATTGTGTTCAAGAAGCATTACGACTCTCTTGTGGACCTGTATGACCTTATTGTGTTGATGAACCATTACGACTACCATGTGGCCATGTATGACCTTATTGTGTTGATGAACCATTACGACTACTGTGTGACCCTGTATGACCTTATTGTGTTGATGAACCATTACGACTACTGTGTGGTCCTGTATGACCTTATTGTGTTGATGAACCATTACGACTTCCTTGTGACCCTGTATGACCTTATTGTGTTGACGAACCATCCAGAATTCATCACATCAATAAACATCGATCAAAAGTATTTTATACAAAGCTTGAATCCAATGACAGAATGCCTACAATCCTTAAAAACAGAAACTCTAAGTTCACTTGCTTTTCATTCAAACCTTATCGAGTGTTGTACTCTGTTGAAGTAAATAATTTGTGGGTTTTTTTCCAGACAACATTTTCTCTTGATGGGGGGAATCTGAATGAGTGTCAGAAGGGAGACGGTTTTGAAACAACTAACGTCCGAACAGTGGACGGGGACTCTATGACTATGGTAAGTATATATACTAACGTCCGAACAGTGGACGGGGACTCTATGACTGTGGTAAGTATATATACTAACGTCCGAACAGTGGACAGAAACAATAACAGTTTGGTTACTATATAAAAACGTCCGTAACGTGGACAGAAACAATAACAGTTTGGTTACTATATAAAAACGTCCGTTACGTGGACAGAAACTCTTACACTTTGGTTACTATATAAAAACGTCCGTTACGTGGACAGAAACTCTAATACTTTGGTTAGTGTATAAAAACGTCCGTTACGTTGACAGAAACTCTACACTTTGGTTAGTGTATAAAAACGTCCGTAACGTGGACAGAAAATCTAATACTTTGGTTAGTGTATGAAAACGTCCGTTACGTGGACAGAAACTCTAACACTTTGGTTACTATATAAAAACGTCCGTAACGTGGACGGAAACTCTAATACTTTGGTTAGTGTATAAAAACGTCCGTTACGTGGACAGAAACTCTAACACTTTGGTTACTATAAAAACGTCCTTTACGTGGACAGAAAAACACTTTGGTTAGTGTATAAAAACGTTCGTTACGTGGACAGAAACACTTTGGTTACTATATAAAAACGTACGTAACGTGGACAGAAACTCTAACACTTTGGTTACTATATAAAAACGTCCGTTACATGGACAGAAACTCTAACACTTTGGTTAGTGTATAAAAACGTCCGTTACGTTGACAGAAACTTTAACACTTTTGTTAGTGTATAAAAACGTCCGTAACGTGGACAGAACTCTAACACTTTGGTTAGTGTATGAAAACGTCCGTTACGTGGACAGAAACTCTAACATTTTGGTTACTGTAAAAACGTCCGTTACGTGGACAGAAACTCTAATACTTTGGTTACTATATAAAAACGTCCGTTACGTGGACAGAAACTCTAATACTTTGGTTAGTGTATAAAAACGTCCGTAACGTTGGTAGAAACTCTCAGATTAATTTGGATAGTTTATGAAAACGTCGTAACGAGGACTCTCAGACTGTAATAAGTGTATAAACACGTCTATTATGATACATTTTGATTTTTTCACATGATACTTTTTCTCATTTCAGACAATGAGCGGTAATGGTGTGACGTGTACCCGAAAATACAAGAAGGTGTGATTGGACATCTTTTTAGAAACGTAGCCAATAGAAACAATTATTCATCTTCATGTTGTCACGTGATTAGTTTATCAAATCTTCGTTTGATCTCTTTGGGATTTCATCTCTATGTGCGAGGAGTGCCGATGTATCGCGCTCTGTTCGGGACGTTTCTTCACTTTCTGTTCGGAATCAGCACGTTCTTTCTCAGCAACACGTTGTTTTCCCTTGAACAGTTAGTGCCAAATTTAGGCCAGCGGCTGTTGCAGTCATCAAACGGCCAACTTTTTATAAGAAAGAAAACACCTTCTGCATGTCAAACCCAGAGTTCTGAAATTTGGGATGAAAACTTTCCAATTTTATTTTTTGTAGTTCAATCATTTGAAATCGATTTCCAAAAGCGTTGAACAAAATGTTGGTGTTGTGCCATGCCACATCAGACATCCGGAAAAGTGGAAAAACTTTTCCCCCCGTTATTTCAGAATTTCTAATCAATGATTGATAAGTTATAAAGGTAAGAAAAGCTCGTTAAGCGACGGCACGTTTTGGTCCAGTAAAATGCCGGGAGACCGTGTTACAACACATAAGTTTGGTTTTTGGTAGATAGATTCATGTAACAGATAAGAAATAAAGAACGCATAGTTATAACAAATTATCTGGTCATGTTGGCTTATTTTTTCTGTACAGGATTAAAAACAAGAAAATAAAATGTTTGCAAAACATGAACCAATGCACATTATTGTCATTGTTTGAAAAAAAGTCTATAAATAGTAACAGCTACTTTGGACTTGGAGCAAGGAAACACAAAGTAATGCTCGTATTTGATCTTCGTATAAAGTTTTATTAAAACCCGTCAGGATATGAAGTAATTAGAGCGATGGCAGTGGAGGATCTGGATGGGACGGAAATTGGTAACTCTGTAGTAAACAGCGTTACGTACAATTAATACGGCGTCAGATCCACCGACTTTTACTTTTAGAAATTACAAATATCACTGCTTGGTCATAGTGCAGATTCTGAATTTCGTAAGGATATTTAAATCGATTTACTTTTATTTAAGTAAATTTGCTACTCCTATGCAGTGCGTTACTATGACATTGACACTAAATGAAAATAAATACAACTAACCAGACCACAAACGGATCCTCTATATTTAGCCTGAACATTTTACTAAATTCATTGCTTGAATTCAGCGCACAATCTGATTTTGTTTTAATTAAATGCAGGTTTTAAATTTGTTCATCATGTGTTCATCCTATTTCTGTCGTATCAAATCAATGCGAGGCGGGAACCATATGCGCCATGTTAATCACAATCAAAGAAGCCCAGACGACCTGGTTAGTCCTGGTTAGTCCTGGTTTCATAATGTCCGTCAAAACGGAACTGACGTCATTAGGGTGTTTCCTCTAAACGGGGGTTTTAATGGAACGAGCAAACAAAACAACAATAATAATGAAAAAAATAATGAAAAGAGGTTTTTCAATTCAATATTATCAAAAATAACTTATGCTAATAAATTATATGCATTTCTAATATTAAACAAAACACTCATCGTTTGATAAGAGAAGCTACAGATATCATGACCAAATCGGTGTTGGGTTAAGGGCCCTAGGAAAGTACATTGTATATATGTGAGTGGGATGGCTTCAACTAACAGTGGCAAGCTTCACATTAGTTCAATCGTCTATCAAAACATTTATTATATTATATTGATATTTTCCTCACACACGGTATAGAGTATAGATAGACGAGGATGCTGAATCGTAACCCTTGGTTACCAAAACAACTTTTTGCGTGTAAACATGGAATAGGTTTCCATACGTCGTTTTGGTGAAGTATTGTGTGAGTTTGCTTACTATACACTACAAGAAAACAGCACTTTGTCGTAAAACTACTGAACTTTGTGGACACGATGGACCTCAGACTAGGAACGTTTGAGTTGAGAAGACTTCATGTACACGTGAAATCTAGATACATTATATCAAACCTTGTTAGACACCCAAACACTTTTCTAATATTGAGGAGGAACTTGTGATCTTTTCTGTGACGTTTAAACATCCCGTAGCATTATACAAATGTACAAATGAAAAAGGTTCACGTCTCATGGGGATGTGCATGTAGGTCGGTTCAAGCGAATGGGTCGACACTTCTATGTATATGTATAATGACAATATTATTTCTATGGGTCGTTAATACCCATCAGTGCTGTCATTAGGCTGAGTGTTGTATTAAGAGTTTGTAACCATCACATGCTATACGGGATAACGGATCATACAATAACCCGCCACAGAATAATAAAGTTCCAGTGTGTTTACCATCAGAGTAAACGTCCCGGCGCGCTAGCCATTAATAGAACGGTTCTCAATAACGTCCCGGCGCGCTAGCCATTAGTAGAACGGTTCTCATTAACTTCCCGGCGCGCTAGCCAATAGTAAAACGGTCTCAATAACGTCCCGGCGCGCTAGCCAATAGTATAACGGGTTATCAATAACGTCCCGATGCGCGAGTCAATAGTGGAACGGTTCTCAATAACGCCCCGACGCGCTAGCCAATAGTAGAACGATTCTCAATATCCATTACTAAAAAGCTTCACAGCATGGGAGAAATATACGTAACGCTTTCCACACAAATACGTTCAAAGAACATGTTATAATTGTTGTAACATAACTCGATCGAGAATTTCTAAAATACCATTTTTATTTTAGGAAAAGTGCAATCTCAGTGCTAATCGATT